GGGTACCGGCGGCGTATATAGTAGGCACGATGTGCCCGGTCACCCAGCCAGGCTGTGAGGTGGTCGCTCCGGGTACCGGTGGCGTATATAGTATGCACGATGTGCCCGGTCATCCGGCCGGGCTGTGGGATGGCCGTGGCGAGCGTGTATAGAGTGAGAGCTGTGTGTGCTGGGTGCCGTACGAGCGTGTTTTGCTTTCTCCGGCACGATATTATTGCAGCAAGTCAAATTCCGCGGATATGTGGCGAAGGTAAACAGCGGTGGTGGCATTAGCTGTGGATTACATAGCGACATGTGAGCGGCTGGGGCCGGTGTCGGCACTGTCGCATGTTTGTAAGGCCACCCACTCACCTCTCCTCTCTATATTCCTTCCTTCCTCTCCCCCGCGTCTCCTTTCCTCTCCCTTCCTCCTCCTCTTCCTCTCCTCTTCCTATATTCTTCCCTTTCTCTCCCCTTCCTCTCCTCTCCTCTCCTCTCATCTCCTCTCATTTTCCTCTCCTCTCATCTCCCTTCCTCCTCCTCTTCCTCTCCTCTTCTTATATTCTTCCCTTCCTCTCTCCTTCCTCTCCTCTCCTCTCCTTTTCCTCTTCTCTCCTCTCCCTTTCTCCTCCTCTTCCTTTCCTTTTCCTATATTCTTCCCTTCCTCTCCCCTTCCTTTCCTCTCCTCTCCTTTTCCTCTCCTCTCCTCTCCCTTCCTCCTCCTTTTTCTCCTCTTCCTATATTCTTCACTTCCTCTCCCCTTCCTCTCCTCTCCTCTCCTTTTTCTCTCCTCTCCTCTTCCTTCCTCCTCTTCTACCTCTTCTCTTTCTATATTCTTCCCTTCCTCTCCCCTTCCTCTCTTCTCCTCTACTCTCTTCTCCTCTTCCTCTCCTCTCCTCTTCCTCTCCTCTTCCTCTCCTCTTTCTCTTCTCTCCTCTTCTCTCATTTTCCTCTCTTCTCTTCTCCTTTCCTCTTCCTCTTCCTCTCTTTCTATATTCTTCCCTTCCTCTCCACTTCTTCTCCTCTCCTCTCCTCTCTTCTCCTCTTCCTCTCCTCTCCTCTCCTCTTTCTCTCCTCTTCCTCTCCTCTTCCTCTCCTCTCTCTCTCCTCTTCCTATATTTTTGCATTCCTCTCCCCTTCCTCTCCTCTTCCTCTCCGTTCCTCTCCTCTTCCTCTCCTCTCCTCTCCTCTTCTCTCATCTCCTCTCCTCTCCTCTCCTCTTCCTCTCCTCTTCTTCTCCTCTTCTTCTCCTCTCCTCTCCTCTCATTTTCCTCTCCTCTCCTCTCCCTTCCTCCTCCTCTTCCTCTCCTCTTCCTATATTCTTCCCTTCCTCTCCTCTTCTTCTCCTTTCCTCTCCTCTTCCTCTCCTCTCCTCTCCTCCTCATCTTCTCCTCTTTCTATATTCTTCCGCTTCTCCTCTCCGCTTTCTTTCTTCTGGCCCGCCATATTTCCTCGTCATATTTTATTTGGTTTCACCTTACATCCCATCCAATCTTTGTCTCTTCAGCTTCTTCCCTCCCAATTCTGTCCCGTATACCCTCCCCAGCTTCCTTCCCCGGTTTATTTCCCCTTTCTTTTCCTTCACATTGGCCGCGTTTCTTCTCCGTTCCCATCCTTTTCTTTCCTTGTCATTTTACCTCTCCTCCCCTCCTCATTACTCTTTCTAATTTATTTTCCTCGTTTCCGCTTTCTCTCTCCTCGCTGACTCTTCACTTCACTTCAATTATTTTTCTCTCCCATCTTCTCCTCTTCACTTCTCCTTTCGTCCCCTCTCCTCTCGTTCTTACTTCTCTCTCTCTTCCCCTGTGCTTCATTTACCTCCTTTCCCTTTCACTTCACTTCACTTCAATTCCTCTACCTATTGCCCTTTAGCTTTCCCATTCACTTGATCCCTCTCGCACTGCTCTACTTCACTGTACTTCACTGTCCTTCCCCCTCTTTTCCTGCTCTCCCCATATGCCGTTGGTATATAACGGAGAGAAGACTGTGTGTGAGTATACGTCTGCTTGCCTGTGACGGCTGTGGTGACGGCTGTGGTGGTGACGGCGGCGGCGGCAGCAGTGCGTGTGGCAGACGCGTACGGCCCGCGGGTGGCGTCGTCTGCGTGTGTTTTTTTCTGTTGTTGTCAGGTTTCATCGATTTATCGGCTGCTGTTGAGAGTACGTCGCCTGGTTTTTCGGCTGCACCTGCGACGGCGAGCGTGGCTCCCTCTATCCTCAATACAACCTCTTTCTCTCCTTTACCTTTCTCTCACGATATTCCTTTTTTATTCTCTCTCACTCTCTGTTTCTGCCCTGCTATTTTTCTGTCGCTCTCCCCCCCCCCTCTCTCTCTCTCTCTCTCATCCTCTCTCTCGTTCGCTCTCTCTCTCTCTCTCTCTCTCTCTCTCTCTCTATCTATCTTTCTTTCTCTCTCTCGCTCTCTCTCTCTCTCTCTCTCTCTCTAATTCATTTTTATGATTTCGCTCTCTCGCTATCCCGCTGTTTCTCCTGCTCTCTTTCTATTTCTCCTTCTCTTCCTCTCTCCCTTAACTGTCTCTTTTCTCTCTGTCTCTCTCTCTCTCTCTCGCTCTCTCTCGCTCTCGCTCTCTCTCTCTCTCCGATGTATTTAGATGGTTGCTGAAAGCCGGTAGCTTAACTCATTTGTCACGATGACGTGGTTTTTTATTCGCTGCCACGCATGCGTGTGGGCAGGTGCAGTCAGTGAGCCGGTTTATTATGCTGCTATCATGTGTATGTGCGTGTGTGCGTGCGCGTGTGTGCATGTGTGTGTTTGTGTGTGTGTGTGTGTGTGGGGGGGGGGTGTGCGCACCTGTGTGACCGGCTGGCCGCGTGGTAAGGCAGTTAATGATGAGCCAGAGAGGGTATGACAGCGATAGAAAGATGAGTAGGGGGTGAGAGAAAGAGAGAGCGATACAGTCAAGAACAAAGAGAGAGAGAGAGAGAGAGTGTATGTGTGAGAGAGAGAGTGTGTGTGTGAGAGAGAGAGAACGAGAGAGAAAACGAGAGAGAGAGAGAGAGAGAGAGAGAGAAATAGAGAGAAAGAGAGAGAGATAGAGAGAGAGTGTGTGTGTGTGTGTAACAGAGATTGCGACAGAGAGAGAGAGAGCTAGAGAGAGAGAGAGAGAGTACGAAGAAAAGAAAGAGCGAAAGACCGCGAGTGAAAAGTGAGATAGAGAGGCAGGTAGAGAGCGAGCGAGACACACAGAGAGAAACCGATAACGACTGTGTTAACAGAATGCGAGAGAGAGAGAGAGAGAGAGAAGGAAAGAAAGACGGAGAAAGAGAGTTGGCATGACAGAGAAGTAGATACAGACAGAGAGGCAGAGCGAGCGAGAGAGAGCCAGAGAAAGGAAGATATATATACAGAAAGAAATAGCGATAGAGCGCGATAGCGAGCAAGCGAACGATAGAGGGAGACTATATATATATATAAAGCCTGTAGGTGTATGAATGCGTTATGTAGCTTCCCACGCTCTAACATAGGCCGGTATATCGAGTATCTTCGGTTATTGTGCGCGCACACTATAGCATTCTCGCACACAGGCACGCAGCGCACCGCTGTCGTCCTCGGCGACGTGGATAGATAGGATTTATCGCCGCAGAGCTTTTGTGTCGACCCAACTCCAGCGCCGGAACTATCAACTGGTAACGAATTATTGAGCCGCAGCCGTAAACCTGATACTCGCAATATCAACCTACTTCCCGGAGGCACAGCGGGTGCGCGGGGGGAGGGGGAGGGGGAGGAACGTAGCAACGCTCAAACGACCGCGTAACGTACGTACGCGCACGATGAATGGCTGTACCAGCGCTCACTGTCGCCATGGAAACGTACTGATCATCTCACTGTCACCATGGAAACACGATATCCGTAGCATCTCACTGTCACCATGGAAACACGGCATCAGTAGCATCTCACTATCTCCATGGATACGCGTTGAAGGGCTCACTGTCTCTACGGACACGACCTGATGGTCTCACTGCCTCCCTTAGTAGCATGAGGGTCTCACTGCCTCCCTTAGTAGCATGAGGGTATCACTGCCTCCCTTAGTAGCATGAGGGTCTTACTGCCTCCCTTAGTATCATGAGGGTCTCACTGCCTCCCTTAGTAGCATGAGGGTCTCACTGCCTCCCTTAGTAGCATGAGGGTCTCACTGCCTCCCTTAGTAGCATGAGAGTCTCACTGCCTCCCTTAGTAGCATGAGGGTCTTACTGTCTCCATGGATACACGATGAGGAGAGCATCCCAGCATCTCCATGCATATATTATTATATATATTATAGTATACGCTTGGCTGATCTCTGCTGCCGCAACGATGTGCTTACACGCGACACGCGTGCAGACATAATGTAGCAGAGTGGTTTCCTCACACGCACACGTGTGTACCTCACACACAGTGGTTACCTCACACTCACACGCACACACGCGCTTCGCTCGCCCACACCTCCAAGACTAAGTGCTGCTGCTGCTGCTACTACTACTGCTGCTACTGCTGCTGCTGCTGCTACTATACTGATACTACTGCTGCTGCTGCTGCTACTGCTGCTGCTGCTACTGCTGCTGCTGATACTGCTGCTGCTACTACTACTATACTGATACTGCTGCTGCTACTACTAATGCTGCTGCTGCTGATACTGCTGCTACTACTACTACTACTACTACTACTNTGCGTGTGTGTGTGTGTTAGTATGCGGGCGTGCGTGCGTGTGAGGGTGCGAGCGCGACACAACGCTGCAATTACCCGACAAATTGCGGCGTGCCGGTCGGCATAGCACCAGCACCAGCCGCTGCGGCCGCTGCTGCTGCTGCTGCTGCTGCGGCTGCTGCTGCCGCCACACGATGAAGATGAAGATGTCTAGCTTCTCTAGTCGGCGTGAAATCGCCTGTCAGAGGCCGTCACGTGGCAATCATGTGTCGCTTCCACTCACGCCGGCGCGATCAGTAACGCTCGATCGAGCGGTACCTGCTCTCCTCTCCCGCGTCCTTTCTTTCTCTCTCCTCCTGCTCTCTCTCTCTCTCTCGCTCCTTCTTTCTCTCTTCTTTTTCTTCGCTGCTCGCTCTGCGTCTGCTCTCTCTCGCTCTTCTCTGTCTCGCTCCCTTTCCCTCTCTTTCTCTTTTTCTCTCCCTCCTCTCTCTCTTCTCTTTCTCTTTCTCTCTCTACCGTCTCGCTCTCGTCGATCTTGCTCTCATTTCTCTCTCTCTCCTCTTCTCTCTCTCTCTCTCTCAGCTCACAGAATCGCCTCTCGTCTCTCTCTCATCCTCGACTCATCGTCTCTCTCTCTCGCTCCTCTCTCTCTCTTTCTCTTTCTTTCTCTCTTCTCTCATCTTTGTTTTCCCCCCCTCTCTCTCTCTCTCTCTTTTTTTCTCCGCTGTCTCGTTATCTCTCCTTCTTTCCCCATATAGTGCGCTCTCTTTCTCTCTCAATCGCTCTCGCGTTCGTGCTGCTTTTTCTCTCTCGTGTGCGCTCGCTCTCGCATTCTATCTCTCTCTATCTCTCGCTTTTTCCCCTTCTCTCTTTTTCTCTCTCTCTCTCTCTCTCAATCTCCCGCTCTCTCGCTTCCTCTCACCCTCTCTCTCTCCAGCTCTCCCTATCTCTGAATTTATCTCTCTCTCGCCTATCTCCAGCTCTCCTTTCCTCGCCGCCACGCGCTCTGCGGCTCGCTCTCTAGCTATATTTCACATCTCCTCCCCCTCACCTCTCCCTAGCTCTAGAACTAGAGCCCTTCGCTCTGCCACAGGCGAGGCAGCGGCCACCAGAGGCACAGGCCTGAGGCAGAGCGAAGGGCTAGAGTTCTAGAGCTAACCTCTCCCGTGTATCGCGGACGTCGGCACCGGCGGCGGCGGTGCCATCGTCGGCTTGCTTCTGCGACATAATAATTATGATCGCCAGCTCGCGACGTCTGCCTGCCGTCGATAACCTAATTAAATTCTGCCGCCGCGACGTCGTGCGTGTGCGTAGCCGAGCGGTGAGACGGAGCCGAGACGACGGAGCAAGAGCACAGAGCGATAGTGTGAGAGCGGGGAGAAATAGAGAGGGAGAGAGGGAGAGAGGGGGAGGGGAGAGAGGGGAAGGGCAGAAAGGGAGCGAGAGGGGGAGATAGGGGGAGCGAAAGGGATGAAGAGAGAGAGGGAGAAAGGAGAGAAGGGAGAGCAGGGGGAGGGAGGAGGTGCAGAGCAGAGAGAGAGGAAGAGGAGAAAGATGCAGAGAGGGGGAGGGCGAGAGTGGTCAGGGACAGGGGGAGGCAAGGGAAGAAGGAGAAAGGAGAGGGCGAGATTGAGTGCAAACGCCAGAGGAACATGGCGAGCGTAATGGAGAAGAAGCGACAAAGGACGAGAGAGAGAGAGAAGAGAGAGCGAGAGAGAGAGAGAAAAGAGCGAGAGCTGAGACAGACATGAGAAATTATGAGAGAGAGAGACGCCGAGATGAGAGAGAGAGAAGAGAGGGGGGCGGAAAAGAAGGAGAGAGGCGAAAAGAGAGGAGAGAGAGAAGATAGAGAGAGTCAGAAGAGAGAGAAGAAAGAGAGAGAGAGACAGAGAGAGAGAGAGAGAGAGGAGAGAGAGAGAGGGAGCGGCGGCGGGGAGGGAGCCATCGACCGTCCTCCTCTCTTACTTCTCATAATATTACGACGCTAGTGGAGCGGGTACTTGAAAGCAAGCTCGGTTTTTATCTGGGAACACTTGTGCTGTGGCCGGAACAGTCACATGTTGGCTGTTTCTCCCCCGCAGGTCTATATGAATAGAATGCCGCGCGCCGAGCGGCCGCTGCGTCCGCCGTCTGTCCGTCCCCAACGTCCGTCCCGCCGTCTGTCCGTCCGTTCCGCCCGTTCCGTCTGTCCGTCCGTCCGTCTGTCCGTCCGTCCGTCCGTCCGTGCGTGCGTCCGTGCGTGCGTGCGTGCGTGCGGGGGTCCGTCCGTCCGTCCGTCCGTTCGTCCGTGCGTGCGTGCGTCCGTCCGTACGTCCGTCCGTACGTCCGTCCGTCCGTCCGTGCGTGCGTGCGTGCGTCCGTCCGTACGTTCGTACATCCACACGGAGGACGAGTAACGATGGAGATAAGCAATCAACGCCGCCGCTTGTTGCTATCCAGCCGCGCTATGCCCTAACAACGACGCACCTGGACGAACTGATGCGATAACAGCGAGTTTTATGAGCAGCCACTTTGTTCGCTGCCTACCGTTGCATGATGCTAAAGACAGGGGAGATCGGCTGCTGCCGCGATGAAAGCGTCGACGTTGCCAAGGCGACGGAAGCTGTCGACGCAGCCGGAACGAGTGCTACTGATGCTGGAGATGCGGCGGAGGCTGGCGAGCGCGCGCGTGCAGAGTGAATGGTTTCCTCCTCTGCTGTCCGGCGGGATAATGAGACACACGGGAGGATGAGATTGAGGATGGGGATGAGGATTGATGGTGGAGCTATACCGGTGTTGTAGAGCGGCGTACTGGTGCAGTGTGTGTGCACGCGCGTGTGTGTGTGCGTGTGTGTGTGGTGCTGGTGTGTGTGTAGTGTGTGAGAGGTCGTTATTGCGCAACGAGCGCGCGCGCGCGCAGCCCGCGTGTGTGTGTGTGGTGGTGTGTGTGTGTGGCTGTGTGTGTGTGTTGTGTGTGTGTTGTAGTGTGGTGTGTTAGTCGGCACTCCAGCGCGTGAAAAACAAAATGTATGAAAATGGCTGATTACATATAATAAATTCATTTAATGAGGTTAAATACGGCTTTTTCTATTACAAGCTCTCTACTCACTCACATCCTCTCTCTCTCCTCCTCTCTCTCCTCTCTCTCTCCTGCTCCTCTCCTACTCTCTCTCCTTTCTCTCTCTACTCTCTCTCTTCTACTTTGCTCTTCTCTCTCTCTCTCTCTCTCTTCTCTCATGCCTCCCTCTCTCTACTCGCTCCTCTCTAAATCTCCCCTCTTCTTGTGTGTGTGGTGCGCGCGTGCGTGCGTGCATGCGGCGTGCGTGCGGCGTGCTGCCGTGCTGGGTGTGTTGTGTGGTGTGTGGTTGTGTGTTGTTGTGTGTGGTGTGGCCTGCGCGCGCGTGCGGCCTCTCTGTCTGTCTCTGTCTGTCTCTCTCTGTCTTTTTCTCCTCTCCCTCAACTTTCTCTCTCTCAGTTTCTCAGTTACTCAGTTGCATAGTCAGGTAAACACAGTATAGACACATACACAGACACACAGATATATGTTTACGCGTGTGCCCATCATATTTTACCTTGTCTGTACCTGCATTACTGTTTAGCTTTAACGGTTTCAATTAGGCCCAGTCCGCTAAGTGTATTTCGGTTATATCGTTACAGCATTAGTCTGCTGTAAAATGCTTTCGCCCAAATCCCGCCGAATGCTTCCCCAGCGTCATCGGCGCCGCCGCCTGTCGGCGACAGTCGTTAGCAGACAATCTTTTTTGTTTCTAACGTGCGCGCGTGCGCGTGCGTGTCTGCCCGCGTGCTTGCGTATGTACATGTGCGCGTACCTGCGTGCATGCGTGCGTGGCTGTCTGCGCGCGTACTCGCGTGAGTGCGCGCACTCTCGTATGATTGTGCGCGTGCTTGCTTGTTCGGCTACGTATATCACATGTCGCGTACTTGCTGTGCGTGCGTGCGCGTCGTGTGCGTACCGAGTGCAACTGCGTGCGCGTGCGTCCGCCAGTCGCCTTACAATGCACAATTGCGCGTAAGCTTGGCGTGCGTGCGTGCGCGTGTGCTTGCCAAGTTTGCGTCCGCGTTTGGTGCGTTTTGTCACATGACTTTCATTCAACTGAGCGATATATGCAAGATCGATATTTCACAAGAAAAGCTCTGTAGGATAGCCAGCCATCATCTATTTGTCGTACTGCACAGACATCCCACAAGCAAGCAACAAGAGAGCGAGTGAGAGGGAGAGAGAGAAGGGAGAAAGAAGAGAAGAGAAGAGAGACGAGAGAGAAGAGAGAGAAGAGAGAAAGAGAAAGACAGACAGACGAGCTGGGCTGGTACCTGTGAGACACTGTCCCCGCGCAGTGAAAATACATCGCTTAATTTAGTGGTCACCACCACCAGCAACAGCAGCAACAGCAGCAGCAGCGCCGGACTAGGCATCCAGTGGTGTGAACACCCGCACTAGTGCACCCATTGCAAACAGTCCGCAACAACAACAACAGCAGAGCAGTGTGGTCATCAACTCTCTGTGGGCCAAAATTCGGCCACTGCCCCCCCCCCTCCCTCGCCATCCGCAGCTCTACCGCCATCCGACCATCCGCATCTGACCAGCGACGACGCGCGGGTGCTCTCTCACGGCGGCGCAGCACGAGTGTTGACACAGGAGGCCGCCACCCCGGACAGACGAGAGGCAGCTAATTGGCTGCCGTCAGTGAATAGTAAGTGTTCTCGCTACTCGGTGAGATCTCGCGCACCGCTGGTCACTTGGAAAGCCAGAGGAAGCTATAGCGGGCGCGGGGAGCGCGGGCGCAGCGGGAGAAGCCGAGCACCAATTACCGACGCCAGGAGAGAGGGAGAGAAAGAGGGAGAGTGAGAGAGAGAGAGGTTGGGAGAGACGTGTAGGAGAAACGCCTGCGCGCCTAAACGCCTTAGACTGTGCGAAGTGCGTATTCGTGCGTGCGTGAACGACGCATGAGTTTTCGTACAGCGCGAATAGAAAGATAAAGATAGAGAGAGAGGACGAGAGAAGCAAGTGTGCGTGTAGAGTCTCGGGTGAGCGAGACAGAACCTTCGCCTCTTCAAACCACGCGAAAAACACATCGTTACCGTCATCACCACCCACGCGCGCGATGACGTCACCACTTTACGCGCTCCTCGTCACCACGCTGGTGATCGCCTGCCGGTCACGGACGTGCGACGCGCAGCCGCCGTCGGCGCTGGGCGCCCCCTACCGGCACGACTACAGCAGCGTGTTCAACATGCAGTTTCCGATGGAGACGCACCTTGACGACGGCGACGACTATCGTCTGCTATGGAACGTCAACGAGACGGCGATTGTGTTCCGGCTCGAGGTGCGCACGCGCGGCTACGTCGGCTTCGGCATCTCGCCGAAGGGCGACATGAAGAACGCCGACATCATGATAGCGTGGATCGCCGACGGCGTCGCCAACGTCTGGGTGAGTGTCATCGTCATCGTCGTCGTCGTTGTTGTCGTCATCGCTGTCGTGTGTGTGTGTGTTTGTGTGTGTGTGTGTGTATGTGTGT